TTTCAGGGCCTTCAACCCTGCCTGCGCCGAGACCCGGCTCCTCCTGGTGGGCCCTGGCCTCCCCCAGCCACCAACACTCGCCCAGGCCTTTCCCGCAGCGGAGGTGCGGCTGTCTGTCTTCCACCTCTGCAAGTGCCTGCAGCAGCAGATCCAGCAACTGGCCTTGGAGGGCCCCACTGAGCGCCTGATCCTGGCCGCCCTGAGCGACACCATGTGCGCAGCCACCGAGAGCAGCCGCAGGAAGATGCATGCCCTCCTGAGCAACCTCGTGACACCGGACTTGCTGCCTCAGCTCCATATTCACTGGCTGCTCAATGATGAGATCTGGGCCACACACAGGGAGAGGACTTGGGGGGACAGCTGTAACTACTTCAGGGACCTGGAGATGGCAACCCAGGGGTTAAGCCAGGTTTTCAGCGCTGGGCTCTCTCTGGAGAGCTGTATCACCTCCTTAGCCCAGCACTACCAAAAGTATGTTTCTAAGAGCCCCCCTGATGCCATGACATGCTCCGCTCCCTATCCTGATCACCGTGTTGCTTGGGCAGCTCCTCAAAGCCTGCCTGCCTCGCGTTCACCTCTCGCTCCTCCAGCATACCAGGGTAAGCCATCTCAGAGCTCTGTCCAGGCCCCCTGCCCTGCAGCAGCAGCTCAGCAGCGGCCAGCACCAGCCTCTCTCACAGATAAGAGTCCCGTGATTGTTCTCCAGGGTCCACCAGCAGCAACTCTGCTCCCTGTGGCTCTTCAGTGTCAGCCTGAAATCCCGCAGGCTCTCGTCCGGAGTGAGCCCGCAAGCCCTCAGTCTTCATTAGATCCTTCATCTCCTGCGGCTAAACTGGAGGCCACAGAAAACCCGGAGGGTGACAGCAAGGAGGAGATTAACCGTAGGACTGAAGAACGCATCAAGCAGTCTTTGAGCGATATTTGCACAGAGCCCGCTGCCAGGCTGTGCCTGAGCGAGTTTGCGGTGGTTCAGAAATCTGTGCAGCTGATAGGCACCAGGGAGGATGCTCTCAGCATACAGGTCCTGGAGGATGCCCACAGGGTGGACCTCAAAGGCCTGAGCAGCTGCACTTGCCACTTCAGCCAGGTCTTCCAGCTGCCCTGCCGGCACATCCTGGCCGTGCTGAATTCGGACAGGAAGACCTTGCAGCCAGAGATGCTCAGCAGCCAGTGGCACAAGGGATACAATGCTCATCAGGCTGGGCAAGACAGTGCTGATGGCCTCTTGGAGATCCTGAAGAGCTCCTGGAATGAGTCTTTGGATAAATCCCTAGTGGTGTCTTTCCTCACAGCAGAGATCAGCCGGCTTCTCACCCATTGCAGTGGGGAGGAGTTTGAGCACAGGTACAGGACCCTCCGGGAGCTCGCCGACAGCTGGATCGGGCCCTATCTCGAGGTGAAGCTCTAGCACTGAGCGGGAGCCAAGCTTGCTGCTCTGTGTGTGGGTTCTCGGGAGCAGTGGGGCTGCAGATGTGCAGGAGGCTGGTTCATCACCCTACCGGTGTCCCAGCTTCCCCCTTTATTCCCCTCAGCCTGTCACTCCCTTGGGGCTTGGCATAGAAGGGGCAGTTTGGGTCCTTTATCTGCCGAGCGAGCATCGCCTCTTGCATGGGGCAGCTGCAGAACCGGATTGGGAACTCCAGATCTCACTGGAATGGGTAACCAGCCACTGACCTGGCTAGCAGAAGGTGTGGCTGGGAGCCAACCATGGGTGGTGTGGTGTGGGAGGTGATGGTATAATGACATGTGACGAAATTATTTGATCTGTGGCCAATGCCTGCAGGTCATTCCAGCATCCAGCTGCGATGTATTGTGCAACAAAGCCAATAAATTGGCCTTGTATTGCTCGGGAGCTGCATCTGTCTTTGCGCCAGCTGTGGCCGCCCCTCCCTGCTGGCAGGATGGGACAGTGGGCTTGCTTGGCCTGTGAGGTCAGGCAAGGCTTTGAATGGCGCTTCTTGGTGGTCTTGCCTCGTTAAAGTGCCTTCCAGTTAGTGGAGCGAGCCTGCCTGTTAGGAGGCAGCAGATCCGGAGGGTGGCAATCTCCGCTGCCCGCAGGCAGCCCGCGGTCTGGAGCAGAGGAGTTGTCTGCTTGTGGCAGCTGCTCTCGATTCCTCAGAAAGGGGAACCCGCCCTCCCTTGTCAACAGCTCATGTGCTGGGGGATGCTGGGGGTCACAGCAGTGCAAACAAAGCTGCGGTGAGGTGGATAGCAAATGCTTTAAACACATGGGGTGGGGGAGGAAAAAATACCGAGAAGAGCAAACAAGCCCTGGCCCTTGGGTATTGCTGTCGGGCTGGGTGAGCTCCCCATCCCCCCTCGCCAGCAAGAGCAACTGCAACACCAGCAGCTCTGAAGCCCATCGTGTTGGGATGCGGTGAGGGGGCATCAGGAGACCTCGCTCATCGTGTGGTTCAGGCACCATCGGTGTATTCCCCCGTTGGCGCTTCCTTCATTAACACTTCGGTTTTGGTAGAGTCGGTCTGCTGCTTGGCTGCGGATTTCCTCTTGATTGAGGGTTTTGTAACATCATCTGATACTATCGAATCTCTCTGACTAAATATAGTGTAGTGTTTCCTAAGTCACCTTTCTGTAAACTTGGAGCTTGCTAGTTTCACCCCTCAACCATGCTGTAGAAGAGGCCTGGAAGGCCCTGCCTGCTGGCCCCCTCGCCATCTCTCTTCCTGGCACGTGTGGGCACCCCTCTGATTTTCAGAGGGCTCTTTGCTCTGCCTCTCGCTCTGTGCAGCTCCGACCCAGCCTCCCCTCCCAGCCCAGCACGGGCAGCGCAGGAACGCTGGCTGCCATCCCCACCAGCCAGAGAATGAGGGGTCTGGAGGAGGGCCCAATGCCGACTCCTGGAGCCGGGGAGCGCTGGGTCCTCTCCCCAGCCAGCAAGGTGGCGTAGCTGGACCCTGTGCTGGGTCGCCGTGACCAGCTCCATGGCCACAGGCACGTGCCTGAGCAGCAGCTGCTGCTAACCGAGCCTCCCGGG